ATGTGGAATGGGTTCTGCTCATTGTTGAAGGCCATATGGTGACCTATAGTTGTTAACTCCTTCGTGATTTGGTCTCTGGTGGAGAGTTGTCTCTATGGCAATCATACCACATCTTCTTATTTCTATAACGGTAGCTGGAGTATAAATTTAATTACACTTTCAGGCATACTCCACACATTCACTATAAATCCTTGGTTTAAGAAAGTGCCATCATACCTAATTAAGTCTTCTTTTTCTTCTTCTTTCTATTCTACCTTTGCCTACATTAATAATGCATGCATGAATATATACTAGGAATTTCTTGAACTGACTTCCAAAAGACCGAACTAATCTTAAAACTACAATTGAATATGAATTAAATATTTTTTTTGGAAGTATACTGGCAAAAATACTGGTTCCCTGCAGTGCAGAGCAATGGTGAGAAGTAAAATAGAAAACAATATGTTACTTTAACTTACAAATATTTCCAGATTTATAATCCAGTTTGATTACCAGTATATTGGAAGGCAATTATAAGAGATCCTTAAAAAATTCTATATTTATATAAACCAAATATTGTCTTTAAATCAACAGGGTTTAAAAAAAAATATATTAATCCTTGAATCTTCAGGTGGAACTGTGAGTAGTATTAACTGTCCAAGAACTAGGTTGATCTTTTGTGTTTCCTACTTGAGGTCAATGTATCTAAACACTGAGATTTAACAAATAAATGAAGAATGTGTCCCCGCTTGCATATAACATAATAAAGGGACATAACTCAAGAATGGTAAAAGTGACATAACCCAAATTCGAAATTAATCTGTGTTTTGTGGTAATAAGCTAGCATTGTGTATAAGTTTCATAACATTTGGTAGAGGTACACTTAAGTTAGAGAATGGAAACTAGTATTGGGTACGTACGTATGTACAGCAGGGGCATACAATACATTATCTACTGAACATATTTTCCCAAGGTAAGGGATGAATCAGGTGTAGAAAAATATGAAATAATTTTACATACAGGCGAGAATGAAATTTTGAAAGTTTTATTTTTAAGAATTTTGTATTCACTGCATGTTAAAAGGCCTCATAGTACTTAGGTGGCCTTATAAGGTTTATAAAGATAGCAGAAAAGTAAACGGTCATCATACGTGTTCCAATTTATTTTTAAATATTATAATGAAATTGCTTGAGTTGACTGTGTATGTAGGTTCTGGGTTAGAAAGTGGCTGAAAATTCTAAAAAGGCTATCATTATTCCTATGGCCCAAGAGATATAACTGTATAATTTAAAGTTAAATGCATAATTCCAGAAACGAGTTCTGGAATTAAGGGCTACCGGTAAAAACATTAACAATCAGAGACAATTTTTTCACTCAAATTTTCCTCGTTTCATATATAGAAAATCTGATATGTCATGTATGCAATATACTTAAGGCATGCAATAATTAAAGTCAAAGATCCAAATTTGATACTAGGTGTGTATAAAATGATGTAATGATCGGTAAAACAACTCCATCAAATATCATTACTCAGCCTATGTAAAAAAGGCACCACCTTACACGACTTTTATAAACAAGTTATAATCAAGAAAATATATTTCAATACTACATATATATACAAAATGAGATAATAAGGTTTTCAATCATTTTCATCTCTCAGTAAAAGGTGCTTGAATTTCCCATACAGATTTTTGATTTTTTTAGTTTTACTTTTGTTCAGGGTTGCCATAGAAATAACAGGGATCACCGCAGATAAAATTAAGAGTGTGGTTTATGATATAATCATTTCATGCATTTTAATTGATGAAAAATATTTATAAATTTCATACCTTTTTGCTATATTAATGCAACCATATCATGCATATATATATACAATATAAAAATAAGAAGATGTTGTATGATTGCCAATGAGACAACTCTCCACAAGGGACCAAATGACACAGACATTAACAACTATACACTGTAGGTCACCGTATGGCCTTCAACAATGGGTAAAACCCATACGCCATAGTCAGCTGTATGTATATAGTGTGTGTCTATGTATTTTCATTTCATTTACAAAAGTTAAAAATTTGATTAATATTTGTCACTTAAATAAAATTATACTGATAAATAATTATTTTTCAAACTTCTTTCAAATACAGGGATGGGGGTAATTGAAAATGTGATGGTTATTGAGTGTATTGCATTACAATTTCCATGTAATTGAATGTAATGTGTAATTGAGCATTTTTTGAATTAATGTAATGGTAATTTGATTAATTACATTGAAAAAAGCATGAAATGATAAATTACTTTTCAATTACATTTCAATTACATGTACTTTTTTGGTGTTAATGATAAGAATTTATGTTAATATTAATTGTAAAATAATATCTATTTCACAAATTTCAATATTTCAGGTACAATTTTTTTTTTTAATACACAAATCTGTAATTTATTCTTAAGTTCTGATACTGTTTTATTTGACATGCAGAAATGTTTGCTTAAGGTGGTACCAAACACCTTGACTAAAATGAATTTGGCTCGTTTAATTTTGATTAAATTTTGACAAAATATTTACTTTGACCCTTTGTCAAAAATATAAAAATTTCAAAAAACTTGAACCACACACTTTATAGGAAAAATTTCATTGGATATATCAGTTTGACATACACTAATTTTGATCATTGAGAAGCTTAATATTTCCTTAACAACAGAATGTGATTAAAACGTTCAGCTGATTTTTACAGAGTTATCTCCCACCTTGAGGATGTTCTCTACCCTGCTTCAAAATAACAAGCTCTTTAAAAGACTGTTATAAATTGACTGTTGACAGTATATGAATAAAGGAAATAAAAAAGCTGAAAAAATTGAAGGGTCCATGTGCTTGTTTTCTAGATATAAGCCATTGAAAATTTGGCAGGAAGTGATTCTCTCTAGATTTTTTATACATTTAACATTGGCACCTTTTTTCTTTCTAAAACTATGAAAAAAAAACAAGGATTTTATAAGATTTTCAAATATAGCTTTTTTAACTATATTTAACAAAATTATAAAAAGAAAAGTAGGGGTTAACAGGCAAAATATTTATTGGCATTACATGGATAAAACTAGAGGATTCCGAATATCTGACAAAAACTCAGAAAACAAGAGGAGCGAACATCCTTAATAGCCTAAAAGTAAACTTTAAGTTAGGAGAAACACAACCTTTAAATAGCCTGATGTGATGATCTCTTAATAATGAGGATGTAGGCATATTTTTTTTCTCTACGATGCATCAAATTACAATTCGATATTTTCTTCACATTATGGCAGATTAAGAAAAAATTATATAACCCATTAAATCATAATTGGAAAGCGTTCTGACCCTATTCACAGTCATTTGTGAAAGTTTAATGAGATTAGTCAGTGATTGATTGATGATTGCTTACTGTCAAGTCAGAGCTATAAGGCTATATGTGATTGCAGAATTTCTTATTAATTACAATTGATGTAATCTTAATGTAATTGACCTGAAAATACTTTTTTTTTCAGTTTTATTGGCAAAAAATATAAAAGAGAATTGCACCAATTTCAGAGGGGCATCAGCTGTCAAATTTATGTTCATTGATTTGACTCAAATTTTCATATATGATTTGTAACATATTTATTAAAACGTATATTCAAATTACAAAAAGTCTTAAAGAAACAATTTACAATGCATAGACTATAGTTATGCATTTTGTGTGTAATTTAGACAAGACACCATTTAATTTATAATAAAAAAGATGACCTTTGAAGAATGCTTAAAGTCGCATGAATACAGATTCAAATGTGGTTGAATTATTGAAATTAAAGCCAAGAAAAAATCATTGATTTTTTTGGCTTATTTTGACAATTTTGACCAAACTGACTGCTAATAGCAAAATGTTATTTCACAACAATGCTTTTATAAATATTTAAAACAAAAAAATATCATATTTCAATTTCTTGTGTAAATTGTAGCTTAAGCCCCTTTAAATAATAATATCTCAATGGCATAAGCTACAATTTTTTCAATTCCTGGTTGATGTGGTCATGGTGGATTACAGTATGTTTAGCATGCACAAAGAACTGTATATGTACCACTGTCAAGAATCTTGAACAAATCTGAAATGTAAGATAAGGCCAATAGGTCATAAAAATTTGGAGCACAATAATCATACTCAGGCTCAGAAATCAATCAATCAATCAAAATATTGGACTTGACTTTGTGTTTCAAGCACAAATTTTGTACTACGAGTACTGAGTAAAGTTTATATGACCAAGAACCTAGGTAACACAGTCTTTTTAAATCCCTTGGGAATGCAAATTGAGAAAAAAAATCTCTAAGCATGTTCCATGGACCATCTCTATACAAAAATCATTACCATTATATTTTGTGTAAACTTCTGGTAGTACCATGTAATCTTCATTCTTATAGTTACTGTTGCCATTTTGCCCTGACCAATCAGCTTCTTTCACATCTATGTCACATGACATGTCGATTGTCTTTATGTCAGCAGACATTTCCATCTGCTCTGAGTTACTTTCCTCCTGGTCTTGATGAGTACCAGAGTAACCTCCCCTGTGATTCCCACAGGAGTTACTTCCCTTTTCACTTTCATCTTCAGTAACATTTGAAGGCCTCTTTTTCACCTCCTTCATAGAATTCCTACTAAATCTATCTCGACAACTGTTCACTTTAGACTTAACGAAATCTTTCCCTTTTACAATAACTGCCTTGAATTTTGATGACTTTAAACTATTTTCTTTTTTCAGCATAGATTTCACAGGTGAATTATTTGGACTGTCTTTGAAGCAAAAGTCAAACTGACTGTCCCATTCAGTTAAAATTTCATTATTAGTTTGCTCAACTTTGTGTTCAGGAGTTTCATTTGTACCAGGTTTTTTTTCTGTTGTCACATGACTGAGTTGGTTGCTATGGTTACTATGCTGATGATGTTTGTGCCAGGTCCCAAGGTCACCTTGATCCCACTGAATGTCATCAACTATATCTGGGACATCTTGTTTGTTAGCTTCTGTAAAATACCAAAAAGATCATTTATGATTTAAATAAACTAGAACTGAAAGTGCTAACAAAAGGATACCCAATGTTTTGTATGACTACATGTATTAGTATACTGAAATAAGTAAATTTCATTATCTGACCACTTTTACATGTTAAATTCCTCTATGCACATTGGTAGGTAGAATTCTACAACTTAAAAAGTATAAACAATATCTGTCCAGGCATGAAGGAAATGCACTGAGAATTTATGTACACAAATACAACAACAGAGAGAGAGAGACAGACAGACGGATTTAAATTTAAGAAATAATTTTTATTGCATCATATTTGTACAAAAAAAACCAAAAAGGTAAGTATCAACTATCCCAACACCTAACCCTCTTTCTGTGACATATGTGTAACACATAACTTTGTTGAATTTTCAATATTTTGATGTCAATTTGGACTTTAGTTGTTCATAAAATCTTTATCATGCAAGATAAGTTTTTCAAACCCCTTAAACCATATCTGAAAAAAAATCTATAAATAAGAACAAACTCATACAGAAGAAATAATGTCAATATGTAAAAAAAAAGTAGCTAGAAAAATGCAGTTTCAGATCGGCATAACCGGTGTGTTAATGGAATTGCCAAACTCTGTTACAATACGCTATCATATTGGCATAATTATATAAACAAGCAGCCATACCTGTAACATATTTGGTAGATTTAGTACCATGTTTAGGTTTTTTACTCAAGTGTCTATACACCCGCTTCATATTCACGTTTTTCTATTCCGAACTAAATGAATCCTGGGACAGCAATGTCACAACACAAAATCAACAATTACAGATTTTTTAAATAAAAAGATCTATATCTTAATTTAACTAAATGTCAATATATCAGTTCAGATTTTAGTCATGGCATGATTTTTCTCCCTATAAACTATATCTCTTTGCATTTCATTTAGAAGTTCCTTAAAGCTGAGTTTAATCCACTACTAATGTCTTCCTATCATTATAACTCATCAGTTTCCAATTAGTTTAACAATCTAAGGAACTTGTATTATCTCCATTGTTATTTATCAGATCATAGAAGAATCACTTTTCACATGAATCTAATCCAAGACATCCAATTATTCTTTTATTTTTTTCGGTTTTTATCATAGTAGCTTCTAGAAAAAGCTTGACTTAAAATATGAACATGTGCATGTATACAGACATTTGATATAAAATTAAGTATACTCTGTATGGATATTCAAAATTTTCAGTAAAAACAAATGTCATTAACTAAATACCAGTCCACCTAAAGATTTGTCAAACAACAGCCCAAGTCCACTTAAAACCTTTTTGCTGTAGTCAAGGTTGAATCTTAACTATACTTAACAAATGCTAAATATCCTGAGAAAAAAAATGATACATCCAGATTCACTGACAAATAACAGTCCATTTATATCTTTGCCTATGTTTATCACTTGATTCTAGAAGTAAACAATTTTTTTACTACATATATGTATAATGACCTGAATTTTAAATCAGTTTATCAAATTATAAAGCCTCTAGATCTAATCCTAACTTTCATCAGTCAGTAGCTCTTTCTAATACAGAAAGTCTTGCTCTTTCTAATACAGAAAGTCATGCTCTTTCTAATACAGAAAGTCATCACCAGATATGGGCTCTAAAAGAAAAATCAGCCATTCAATTTGACAATTGGCACTGCCTTCAAAATTAAAAATTATTGGTCTCCTTATGAAAGACAATCCTGTTTTACCACTAAGTCCTCTTTGTAAATGACCAATGCAAATAAACGCTTCATTACATTTTTCAGGGGATCAGATGCCACTATATATAAATCCTGAGAAGATAGATTGATTGTTGCTTGCTTAATGTCCCGTGGCTATGGGAATGAAAAAAATTCAATGTTTCTGCTTAATCTCTGTAAATCTTGTCTATAATAAATAGACACATTTTTTCCAAGATGCCACTAATCCGAGAAAAAAAAGATCATCAATGTTTATGCTCAATCTCTGCAAATCTTGTTTATGGTAGACAGTTCATTGTCATCTTTAGATAATCCAAAGAACTAGCATAATCAATTAATTGTTATGATTATTTATATCCTGAATGAAGAATACCACATTTAGAGATGTACTTTTAAAAAAAATTTATATTCGAAAAATCCATGTCACATCAAAAGAGAGGAATTTGCAATGGCATTTAAAACACAAACTCAATTTTTTAACCATCCATTTCCAAATATTTTTAAATCAACACAACTCCTGCCTACATATTTTTTTCACCAACTGAGAGTATATATTCACATTCACACTTCAGGGATTATCGATGAAAAGAAACTTTTCACTATCTCGCCTGCATTTATTAGGCCTAACTAAATCTTTTAAAGTTTAAAAAAATATAAATTTGTAATACATCTGTATAATTCTAAAGGCCATTTGGTATTTGTATAACCAATTTATATATGAATTTATTAAGTTTAAACCCATTTATGACATATTTTCTCACCTAAATCTTTAAAAATGAAAGTTCAATAAATATATGTATGCTTCAGTGAAATTTAGTTCTGTGGTCCAACGACTGACATTGGATAACACTTAAAAGTCAGTTTTTAAGGGTGTAAGACTTAAGTTTTACTCTCTACTTACAAATGAATCAACAGAGTTCACAAAAAAGTGGTGGTCAAAAGGATTTTTTTTTTTTTTTTGACCAACAGCATAAGTTACATATTCTAGACAAGAAGATGACTTTAAAAAAAATTTGAAACGATTTGTGTCATGACATTTTTTGGGTAGGCTGCTTTTTAGGTGGGTTGGGTCAAGGCAACATCAAACAATTTTAATTTTATATTTGGCCTAGGTACATAAAGTCATGACAATCAGAATGACGAGAAATTTTAAACTGCTACTTGAAGAAGAGAGAATGTTGAATATCAGAAGAAATGTTGCTAGGGTTCTTTAATATGCAGAACACAGGGCAATCACCCTACACAAGGATTAATTGAGTACCACATTCTCTGCATGTTCATGAACCCTTGAACAACTTCTTGATGGACCATAGGTAGCCTGTTGCTTGGCAAAATTCTCCTTATCCAACAATTAACCCTTCTTTTCCAATGGCAGTCCGAATTTCCTGCCCTTTATCCCAGAACTGAGAAGACCAACTTTGCAGAACCAACCTATTGGATTTATTATTAATTTGTTCTCATCTTGATTTACGTTTGATAGTGTTGCCACTGGACTTAAAGCAAACAACAATCGATCAATCAATCAAATAAGTTGACCTCAGAAGTTCTTAATGTCTATGAATCTGACAACTACTTCATTTTAAGTGATGGCCAAAGCTATTAATGCCTTTCTTCAATTGAGAAAAAAATAGCAAATATATGTCTCTGGTCTGAGAGGTAATAGGTGATCAAAAATTAACTTTCCGCAAGTAACGTGATCAGTAATTATCAACTTCATGTAACCCTTTTTGTTTAGCAGAATACTGTTAATTCAGAAATTATTGCATGCATTTATTATTGGCATTTTTGAAGAATGGACAAAAAATGTGAGATTAATTATTGTGATTTCAGGAAAATCTGCATAAAGATATATGTTTCAGATTTCAGAATGCGAGTTCTTCTTATTGCGATCCTCACCCAGTCGCATTATTCGCAATAATTAAAACCTTGCAATAATTTCTGAATTTACAGTATTGCAGTAAATCGCTACTAAACGTTACCGAGACCCAATCACCAAAATTTCTGTGTACATATTTGAGGTGACACAGTCATATTAAAAGTCAAAGTGATCAATTACAGGGACCTGTATGAAAACATATTTCCTTGACTAAAAATCAGGGTGTAACATGCACAACATACAATAAGTGATAAATTAACATTTATATTGTCAATAAGAGAACACCAAACAGGGCAGAGAGAAAATGTTGTTTCCATCTTGTCCAACAGGCAAGATTTCCCTTATATTATATTTTACTGGTCCCTTTAACAACATGTACTTGACCTTGAAATAGTAGAAGCTGATCAAATTTAATTGTGGTTAGTAATCTAAGAATGAGGAAGTCAGTTTGTTTGATTGACTTGACACTGGTAAGATGCATGGCACTTATTATTTTGAACCCAACCCACTTGTTTTATGCCCTGCTTACAGCAGTAGGGGTTATTATGTTTTTTGGTTTGTGCCTCTGTGTGTTTGTCTGTTCTGAAGTTTTTGAGCAATTCGAGGTCTCTAGAGGTGGATAATGGGGAGGCACAGGGTGCCCCACATCCCTTGAAAGAGCTACATTTATGATTAATGCAGACTTTTTACCCGTTCCACTCCAAATGTTGTCTAGTTTGGGGACAGCAGGCCCCCTCTTTTTCAAAATTCTAGATCCGCATCTGGTCTCATTAACTCGAAACATTATAGTACACATGATGCTAATTAAAATATGAAAATTTTCTGAATTATATACCAAAATATGGTTTCAACTCCAATTTCACAGTGTACCGATTATAGAAATGTAATATTGGTTAACCAGTGCAATGTACATACTCAGGTTAAAGGTTTTGGTTAAGATAGTTTACCATAAGGTCAGGGTCACATCAACCTGAAACTAATAAACACCCAAATTCATTATAGTGTAAACTATTAAAATATATGCCATACTACTGTTTGTACCTGATTTTAGAGTTCATTGAACAATGAATAATAAAAGTGTGAGCGGCACATCATGTCCTATGGACAAACATTCTTGTTTCTGAATATTTAATAATTCATACATTATGCAAGATGAAATGAAAATTCTTTCTATGAAAAGAAATGAAATATAATGACCAAAATAAAAATATAGAAGTTTAAATAACAACTCTATGTTTGACTCGATTCATCAATTTTTAAATATCTTGGATTACATATTTCACAGATAAATCATTATTCCAGATAATTATAACAACACTTTAATTAACCACACAATGTAAAGGTTGACCTCTATTAAAATTGTACCTCCCATATTTTCAAGTGAACTTTGCCTTT